GTGCAGTGTACATTCCAGGAGATCGGAACCTGGCGGCCGACGAGCTGTCACGGGTCCGCCCTATCTCCGGCGAATGGCGACTCCATCCCCAGACGGTCCAGCTGATTTGGGACCAGTTCAGGGAGGCACAGATAGACCTGTTTGCCTCTCGAGACTCATCCCACTGCGCCCAGTTTTATTCCCTGTCCCAGGGCACGCTCGGCACAGACGCACTGGCCCACAGCTGGCCGCGGGGCCCACGCAAGTATGCGTTTCCCCCAGTGAGCCTTCTTGCACGGGTGTTGTGCAAGATCAAGGAGGACAAGGAGCAGGTCTTGCTGGTAGCCCCCTATTGGCCCACCAAGACGTGGTTCTCCGAACTCATGCTTCTCGCGACAGCACCTCCTTGGCCTATTCCTCTGAGACAAGACCTACTCACTCAGAGATGGGGCACCCTGTGGCACCCTCATCCCGATCTCTGGAGGCTACACGTGTGGCTCCTGGACGGGACGAGGCAGGTTTGAGTTCGCTGCCACCTGCGGTGGCGGCAACCATCACTTCCGCTAGAGCGTCGTCCACGAGACACCTCTATGCGTTGAAGTGGAACCTCTTCGTCAACTGGTGCTCTTCCCTCGGTGAAGACCCCCCGGAGATGCTCGATCGGTGTCGTGCTTTTCTTCCTGCAAGAAGGGTTGGAGCGCAGGCTGTCACCCTCCACCTTTAAAGTTTATATCGCGGCCATTGCCGCGTCTCATGATGCAGTAGAAGGTAAGTCCCTGGGTAAGCACGACCTGGTCATCAGGTTCCTGAGGGGAGCGCGGAGGTTAAATCCGCCTCGCCCTCCCCTCGTGCTCTATTGGGACCTCTCAGTAGTTCTAAGTACTCTACAGAGGCCTCCATTTGAGCCTTTGCAATCGATAGAGTTAAAGTTTCTGTCCATGAAGACAGCACTCCTGGTTGCATTGGCCTCTATCAAGAGGGTAGGGGACCTGCACGCATTCTCCGTTGACGAAGCGTGCCTGGAGTTCGGGCCAGCTTACTCTCACGTGATCTTGAGACCCCGGCCTGGATATGTGCCCAAGGTTCCTACCATTCCCTTCCGGGACCAGGTGCAAGCGCTGCCCCTGAAGAAGGAAGACCCAACCTTGGCACTGCTCTGTCCGGTACGTGCGCTGCGCACCTATGTTGACAGAACGCGGTGTTTCAGGACCTCAGACCTGCTCTTTATCTGTTATGGGGGGAGCCAGATGTATTAAATACTCAAAGAGGATTGGCTTTCTATGCGAAACCCCCATTCTCCGTCACTCCTGACGTAAAATCTCCGTTCCCTACTCAGGGAACTAGGGTTAAATCCGTAACCGAGACGATTTTCGTCCCCGTAAACTGCCGGAAATCTCCCTAATTTTCGGCAGTTAATGACAATTTACAGACTGTGAACGTCGCGTTCGTCTGTGCCAAATATTGACGGAAAACGAACCATGATGTATACATGGAGCGCTCGCGAAGGTGCGAATGGCCCTAATTAGCATATGAATAGCGGCACTGCGCGCCTTGCAAGAGAATGGCCTGAATTTCCTCACTCAGTATTGGTTGAAATCACTACATTTAAACAAGAAATCACTCGTGATTGGTTGGCAGATCTGTTACTATTGGTCAGCCTATATAAAATTATAATAATAATAATTGATTTATATATGTAAATTCATATGATATGTTATTATGTTGTATATTCATGTCATTGTTATCCTAAAGACTAAACTATTATTACCATCAAGGACATGAATTTATTGAGGAAAGGAACATTTGCCAGATACTGTTTATTCAAAGAAATAGCTTTATTAGAACAAACACACAACTATGTATAAAGCAGAACATCTTCAAAGCACAGAAAACATGTCCTCCACCTTCTGGAAACATGGGACAACATACATACAGCACTACAGTTATACAAATAAATCACAATTCTATATTGCATCTTTATTCAAAAATAAATTGCCCTGAATGGCATCAGAATTGGGTACCAGATATATCACACATGTACAGTGGAGGCAGAATTATGAACGAATAATAAGGATGTAATTTAAAGGGATAGTTCACTTTGAAATTAATTTTTGATATGTTTTAACTTACCTCAAGGACATCCGAGATGTAGGTGTCTTTTTTTCCACAGTATTTTCAATTTTGATATTTTTAGGTCAAACCGTTCTTGTCTTGTCAGTCATATAATGCAGGTCTATGGTCACCACCTCAAAGAGCATGCACAGAGAAGTCCAAATTAAACATGATTTAATGACTCATTGAGTACACATTGATGGACTAAGACACGAAACGAGCGGTTTGTGAGAGAAAACAAACAGTATTTATATTGCTATTATATATATATATAGACCATTTCACAAGATGTAAACAACACTGGTCCAGAAACACTTCCTGTTTCAGTTTGTAACTGTTTTCTTTATTTCACATGTAAAGAAAAAATCTTAAAGATTTTGTTTGTTTAACTTTTTGATTCAGTTTTATATGTTCTGTTGGTTTTATTTTATCCCAGCTTTTATGTAGTGTAAAAGCTACATAAAAGCTTATTTTATCCCAGCTTTTATGTAGTGTAAAAGCTACATAAAAACTGAAACAGGAAGTGCTTCTGGACCGGTGTTGTTTACATCTTGTGAAATGGTCTCTATATATAAATGCTTTGAAATCACCCTTTTATTTTTACCCGATTTGCTTCAAACTTCATCTGTATAATGTAAACATACGGCAGATGTAGAACTGTGAATGGATTCTTGATATCTTTTAAACTGTTGCTGTGGCGACGCATCAAACTTTACCATTCTTTTAGGATGCTTTTGAGACCCTTAGCATGCTTCTAATTGCATGAAACTCGACAGACACATCACATTTATTAGCCAGTAGACATGTGCAAAGTTTCAGAAACGGGCGTGGTGAGGGCTCAGTAGCAAAAGTGGGGTTGTTAGTTTTATCTAGAGTTACAAAAATTGGTATGTATATTGTACTCCTCGAGCCGGACAACTTTCTAATTTACACTTATTAGCTAGCACCCACAGAAAGTCAGATATGTTTGTTTGAACGTGGTCATGCTCACTCTGAGCCTACATGTCTCTGTGTCTTTGCCTGTCTTGTGTGTGTGTGTGTGTGTGTGTGTGTGTGTGTGTGTGTGTGTTCCTGTCTGTGTGTGTGTGTGCAGGTGGAGGGAGCTTAACCATTTCACTGCTGTGGGTATGACCTGCATAAAGAAAATACATTTCTTAAGCCTGGTATTTTTTAAATAAGTTTTTATTTTTATTTTTTATAAGTAAAGGCATATAACTAGTTTAATTGTAGTGCATTGACAATAGTTTTATATAATTAGTTTATTAATTGGTCTGAAAATTTGGTCCATAAATCAAACACACTTGCATGTAATAATATGAAACTCTGTAAACATATGGATCTCATCGGTTCATGTATACTTCACACTCTTACTTTTTACCCCAGCCCAACAGGAAGTTGGCTATTTAGGGTTGTTTGTAAAAAAAAAACATGCAATGGAATAATTTAAAGTACTTCTCTAGAAAATTCAAAGAAATGCCACAAAACTCGATCAGCGTGAAGTCAAGACATTGAGGATGAAAGTTTGCGAGGGGATTTTTGATATCTCAAATGGTTTGGCCGTGGCGAGGAAACGAAATTATGGCGAGAAACGTGAAACAGGAAGTGTGTTATAACTTCAGCATACATTAACAGATCTTAATGAAACTTCAGCAGTTTGTTCGCTGTAAGAGTACGATCACATGGATGTGACTATTGTGAGTCAAAGTTATAGCGCCACCAACTGGCAGCAGAAAGTGTGTCACTTTCAAAATGCTTTGAAATCACCCTCTTATTTTTACCCGATTTGCTTCAACCTTGTGAATGGATTCTTGATCTCTTTGAAACTGTTGCCGTGGCAACGCTTCAAACTAAAATATTATTTTAGGATGCTTTTGAGACTCTTAGCATGCTTGAAATTGCATGAAACTCAACAGACACGTCACATTTATTAGCCAGTAGACATGTGCAAAGTTTCAGAAACGGGCATGGTGCAAGGACTAAATAGTGCCACCTTTTGACTAAAGTGGGGTTGTTAGTTTTATCTACAGTTACAAAAATCGGTATATACATTGTACTCCTCAAGCCGGACAACTTTCTAATACATAGTCATTAGCTCGGACCAAGAGGAAGTCAGATATTTTGGTTTGAATATGGTGAGCCTCTCTCTGAGCCTACACTGAAAAAAGTGTCTCATTAGATCAAAGTAAAAAAATTGCGTCAACTGGTTACATCTAATTGATTTACTTTCTATCAACTTAAAATTTTTACTTTGAAGAGAATTAACCATCCATTACTTAGCTAAAGTAAAAATTAATCTTTGAATCAAATAAAGTTTTTAAGTTTAATGAAATATCAAATTATACTTTGTCTTAATGTTTTCTTAAGTTGTATTGACTTAATTATTGTACTTTACATATCTAACCAAATATCCAAAAAAATACAATTTAAAATATTAATGTATTATAAAGAAATTTATTTACTTTCAGAATGTGTAATTTTATCATTTAAGAAAAATGACTTCAAGCATCAAACTTTTGACAATTTATTTTGTCATAACTTTTTCTTTTAGGTGTACAGTATCCTCATACACAATGTCTAACAATGTAAACATCAAACTTCAGCAGAAAATTGTAGCTGGGTCAAAGGAAACAAATTTACCCCTGCAGCTTTGAAGAGAGGTTCTGCACCCTTCGGCTCATCTGCTTACTCTCTATGTCCATGATTATTATCTGAAAGGCCTCAAAAGTATATTTGAGTCCTTCAGGATATTTTAGGTTCAGTGCATAAACGAGTCCAAACATCATGGCACACAGTGGGCAACTCCTTCAGTACTTCCACACATTCAATGGCAATGGAAATGTCCAGCACACGACTAAGAGCATCACTTTCACGGATCACAAAAAATGCCATAGTGGTCTTTTCAAATTCTCTCTCCGCTTCCTCCCTCTGGTCATCCTAAAAACATACAAAAACAGAGAGCAATTGAGGGACTGTGGAAGAAGAAAAAAAACCCCAGCCCCAAAATTTAGTTAGCTGTACTACTAAGGTCAATGTAGAGCCCAAACATCTGTTGTTAACTTTAATTAAAATATCTTCAATAAAATTTGTAGGGTTTATTACAAGAGTAGAGTAAGTGATGACAATTTTCATTTTTGGGTGACGATGTACTTTTACACTCTCTTTAGCTTTGAAAATGCTTTTAAACACTTTCAAAGGCTCCCAGTTGCTGACCATTGTAGACAATCACAGACATATTTGTTGAGTGCAGTACCACAATGGCCAATCAGAGGCATTTATCAATCCACTCAACAGTGTTCAAAATGCATTTTGGGGTGAACCAACCCCTATTAAAGGAGTAATTCAAGGGATGGGCAACGATTTATCGCGATTAATCGTTAGCAAAATAAAAGTTTGTGTTTACATAATATATGTGTGTGTAGTGTGTATAATTAATTTGTATATATAAATACCCACACATGCATGTATATATTTAAGAAAAATGGGTTATTAACATGTCAAATATTTATATTTATATATAATATTAATTATGTATAAATATATATAAAGTATATACATGCAAATATTTCTTAAATATATAGATGCATGTGTGTGTGTGTGTATTTATATATACAAATTAATTATACACACTACATACACATATATTATGTAAACACAAACTTTTATTTTGCTAACAATTAATCGCGATTAATCGTTGCCCATCCCTAAGTAATTCAAAATAAAAATTCTGTCATCGTTTAAATTTCTCTTGTCATTTCAAACCAGTATGAATTACTGTACTCTGCAGAATTTTGAACAGCGTTGGTGACAGAACAGCACAGCCCCCATTCACTGTTATTGTATGGACACAAAACCAATGCAAGTGAATGGGGGGCTCTTAAAGGATTAGTCCACTTAAAAAAAACCTTTTGCTGATAATTTACTCACCCCCATGTCATCCAAGATGTCCATGTCTTTCTTTCTTCAGTCGAAAAGAAATTAAGGTTTTTGATGAAAACATTACAGGATTTTCTCCATATAATGGACTTCATTGGGAACCAAACGGTTCAAGGTCCAAATGACAGTTTCAGTGCAAACTGTTCAAAGGGCTTTAAACGACACCAGACGATGAATAAGGGTCTTATCTAGCAAAACAATCGGGCATTTAAAAAATAATAAGTTTTATAAGCACAAATGCTCGCCTTGCTCTGTTCTGTGATGCACGTTCGTTTCAACATAATTGTGTATTACGTGACGTCACGAACGCGTATCACAGAACAGAAAATTGAAACTCATTTGGACCTTGAACCATTTGGGGTTTATTGAAGTCCATTATATGGAGAAAAATCCTGGAATGTTTTCATCAAAAACCTTAATTTCTTTTCGACTGAAGAAAGAAAGACATGGACATCTTGGATGACATGGGGGTGAGGAAATTATCAGCAAAACTTTTTTTAAAGTGAACTACTCCTTCTTCAAAATACATTCTTTTGTATTCTGTGGTAGAAAGTCACACAGGCCGATGTGTAAATGATAACAATTACTTTTGAGCGATATGTCACTACCAAACTTACTAAATTAAATTAAACAAAATTAAATTGCGCGAGAACTGAAATGAAGTAGTTGAAGGAGATCGCAATTCTCGCGCATGCGTCGTGGAAATCTAAGGAAGTCTCGTTTCAGGCCAACAAGGAAGAAAAGGAATAGTCGAATAAAGTCGTTATTTTTGTTTGTTTTTTCGCACAAAAAGTATTCTCGTCACTTGATAAACTTATAGTTGAGCCACCGTAGTCACCTGGGATATTTAAACATTTTCTTCATTGACTTTCTGGGCCGTCAAGAGCCAGTCCCTTAGGAAGCCAATGTGGTAGTGAGACAGCTCTCAAATTTAATCAAAAATATGTTCATTTGTGTTGCGAAGATGAACGAAGGTTTTACGGGGTTGGTACAGCATGGGGGTGAGTAATTAATTACTTAATTTTCATTTTTGGGTGAACGAACCCTTTAAGGCAAACATGGTTGGACAAAATTTCAGCAATTTGTCTACATTACCTGGTATTCTTTGATCAGACAGCTTGCATCTTCACCAAGGTACATGATCAGGCACTTCAGCAGGCACTCTCTTCTGACGTCTATGTCCGGACTCTACAAAATGTATTGTTTTTATTAGACCAAAACACTACTAAATTGATTGCCACAAGCAATTTTGTTCTCATGCAACCAATATCTGATCCATAACTTTTATAGTATCCTTAGTTTTTTCACGAAGGAGTCCACCTTCGCTCCTGATCACCTGGAGAAGCTGAGAGCTCTGTCTGTCCAAAGAGGCCATAAATCTTGATTGCAAAGGTAAGGTCGTGATAAGAAAAAATTCGGCATTAATCTACAAGAAAGAGAAACAGAAAAAAGTGATTTTACTTTCAGAATTAGTTGTAAAAAAAAAATACATAGACACACAAAGCATTAAACAACAAAAGTTATAATTAGGGCATCCAAGACATTTTCAAAAATACTACATACCAAAATTCAATTATAAAAACTATGGTAAATTCAGGATTAGTCACATTTAAAAAAAATTCATTACAAATAAATGCTTTTACCTCCTCTTGTTGAAACAGAGCTGGCCATCCAATGCACTAATGGTTCTGATGTGATATTTCTGTGAAACTATTCGCTGCTGAAATAGAACAAAACCTGTCAATCACTGTATGATTAACTTAATGAATCTATGATGTAGGCTAATTACATCGCACGTACATCTCTGGTTTGAGTGCAGATTTCAGTGAGAGAGCGCGCGCGCTCTGAACTAATCTTACGCGATGACTAATCTGAACAACTTTTGATTATTAGAAATTGCATTCATAAACTCAAAAGAATCGCGTGTGTTTGTTCTAATGTGCAACGCGATTATCGTATAAGAGATGCCTTTTGAGAAGACTCAACCCACCAAAATGATAGAGGGAGTAACATTACTTTGTTACACACCACAGCTGAAACCCACACGCGAATGGCGGGTGTTAATGTCAAGCCCTGATATATTATGTTTATAACACGCCCAAACATATGTTTAAAATTACTTACCAATTTTCTTGCTTCCCGTTTTCCCACGCTGAGTTCTTCCATGCGGTTTAACAAGATGGCGGAAAGCTGAACGTCTCACGCACGACCACGGCACGGATGACGTCAGAAGTCACGTGACAACGGAAACCAATATTTTTACTTTAATTTAAAGAAATCCATTTACTTTACACTAACAATACTTACTTTTAATTTAAATCAACGAAAAATTTTACATTAAACTGATGGCTAGATAGAAAATTAATTGTTTTGTGTTACATCAAGTATAAAAATTTCTTTAGAGTAATGACATGCCTTGTTCACTTTTTTCAGTGTACGTCCCTGTATGGCAAGCCCTTTTAACATTTAAAAGCTAAGTTTGCCTATGTTAATCGGAATTAACATTGTAGATATCAACAACGTCTTTCTGTCTAGTCGTAATTACTGTACATTTGAGATAGTTTATATTATCATTTAAGATATCTGTAACATAATTGTGACTAGTCGAAATGACAGAGTATGGCAAGCCGTGTTAACATTTAATCATGAAAGGGCCAAAGCCTTCGACACCGCCACCCGGGTGCCTTTAGGTAACTAAAGGAACCAGGGTTGCGGTGCCACAGGCTTGGGCCCGTCATCGCTGCTCGCAGCTTTATTTCAGGTTTTTTTACCACAATTCTGAAAGGACCCGAAGACAAAAACCATATATATATATATATATATATATATGTTTTTGCCTGCCGTCACCGTGTCTCGCCTTATAGTGTTATCAGTATTATTTTGGACAAAGTTTTGCACACTTCAATGTACACTTAAGCATGCGTCGTGAATTAAAAATTTGGAAACGGGGTTGTTACTGCAGTAATATCACGTTCAGTGCTATAAATCTCTCCGTTCCAGAATATTTAATTCATAACATCAATCTTTGATTCAGGAGTTTGTGCAACCGGAAAGTATGTGAGAAGTGCTATCTAAATTACCTTTCGGGCTTCGTTCCGCCATTTCACCTCAACTTCAAGTGCGAGGGAAAAAAACATAGCTTCTGTATGGAAAGCAATTAGCAATTTTAATTGGTCGTCAATTCACTGAGTCTGTCTGCGTATTGTAGCAACGAGCACAAGACTGTGCTGTTGTGAATCCAGTGGGAAAATAGATCTCGTGTAGGCTATTGTATTGTTTATATATTTCGTGTGTCTATGTGATAGAAATATTATTTGATGCAAATAATTTTAGCCGGCTCAGCCAAACTTTATCAGCTGGCGGCTCAATTTGGCTTACGAGATTATTGGCTGGCGGCGGCTGATATTCGAAATGGTGCAAATGGCGGCACCTGGCGGCGGCTTCGGGATCTAAGTACGAGTTAGCTTGATTACTTGCAAAGAATGGTAGCTAGCTAGCAGCCAGATAACAACGTGCAACCTACAGTTTAGTGTCCCAAATTGTTCAAATTGAAATGAAACTAAAAAAGAATTAAGAGCAGCAAGCTAACGCAAAACAAAAAAACTGTGCCGTTAAGATTAACGCCCTTGGACATTCGCGGCAGTAACCACAGCAGGTTTGTGAAGTTTAAGACAAAACGCTAAACTACCAAACACTATAAGTACACATGGACATAGAATTCACTAGACTGGACGAACTTACCTTCAATTTAGAGGAGATGGGTTCACCAGCGATCATGACGGCGATGCAGGCTGAATATCTGTGCCGTTATTTTCTGCTTGAAAAACAAGCCGAAATCGCGCCGAATGCCTGGCATGTTGCCTCAGCCAATCAGAGTGGCTGACGTTACTGGTTGGGTTATGATGATATGCTGCCTCAGCCAATCAGAGTTCCGTTCACTGGTTTTTGACTCAGGTTGGTTGAAATCCAAGCTCTTAATATAGCTGTCCTCGGCTGTCCTTGACTTTTCTCCTGCTGTTAGTTCTTTTTAAATTAGGAATAAGGTGGATATACCTAAATAGGCTACCATGAAAAATAAAAATACATATATGCATAAATAAATAACTTGATTAGGCTACTTAAAATAAATAAACCAGTAAAAAAAATTTAAAAAACAAAAACAACAAACATTTTCATTTCATTTTCATTTTATTGTTTATTTTTACAGGGACAATGCACAATTAAAAGTAATTGCACCAGAATTAGCTAATAGCTAGTTTACATCTGCTGTCCCTGGGCAGGAAAACAAATAAAATAGCATACATTACATATACACCACATGAAGCATCACAGTACATATATGTAGATTATAAAATTTAAAACCAAAATATAAATCAAATAGAGTACAGTTCAGTCATTAGTGGTTGCAAATTTGTTTTGATAGTAGCCAGTGCTTGAGCTTATTTTTAAAGATTGAGTAGCTATTCAGGCTGCGAATGTTTGTAGGTAGGGAATTCCACAACCCCACTACTCTAACTGAGAAAGCTTTTTGCCCAAAGGCTGTTTTTCTGTACTGTGGTACCAAATCTCCCCTGGCAGATGCTCTAGTCCTACCTGCATTTCCATTATGGGTCACACATCCCTGAAGAGGGGGTGGGGCAAGATTATGCATAATTTTGTACATCAGGCACACATCAGTATAAAACACAAAATTATTCATATTTAAAAATTGCAACTTTTGCAAAATCGTACAATGATGGAAGTCCTTTGGTTTTTTATCTAACACTTTCATGATTTGTTTATGCAGGGAGTGCACAGGTTTAAGTGTAGTTGCATCTGCTTGCGACCAGCATGTTATATAATACGACAAGTGAGGTAAAATCAGAGTATGTACTAAAAGAAGTGCAGCTGATTCAGAGAGCTGGTGCCTGATGCTTTTAAAATTATTCAAATTGAATTTAACATTATTTATAACCCTTTTTACTTGCTTTTTAAATGACAGGTGTTGATCTATTATTATTCCTAAATATTTAACATGCGTCACAAATTTAATTGCTTCACCATTTAATATGATATCTGGATTCACAGAGTTTTGTTTTCGCGCAGTGAAATACGTGCATACAGTTTTACTTATGTTAAGAGACAAACAAGACTCATTTAACCATTTTGAGACTTCCACCATTGCAGATGAAAGTTTTTTTGCGACTAGTTCTTTAGTTCCTGCATGAGTAAAAAGCACAGTATCATCTGCATACATTATAACATCTATACCTGGACATGCTTGAGGCAGATCATTAATATAAATACTAAATAAAATCGGTCCTAAAATTGACCCCTGAGGAACCCCCGTAGGACAACTAGCAAATAAAGAACATTTATCACCCACTCGTGTGCATTGACTTATATTACTGAGATATGATTTCATCCACATCAAGGCAGCATTTGATAAATTAAAATTCTGAAGTTTTGACATTAAACAGCTATGGTTCACTGTGTCAAACGCCTTTGTGAAGTCTAAAAACACAGCTCCAACAACACCACCTTTATCAAGTTTACTTCTAATTTGTTCAACAAAATAACAATTAGGTATAATATAAACATCTGTTTATAACTGTGAATTAACATCCAAATATGTTATCATATATTTTGAAAACTGCTTCTGTGTGTTATGATGAATCTTATAATTTTATTAGGAAAATTTCATATTCATAAGAGTAAATGAATCATTCTAAACCTTGTTTGAAGTTTTTTTTTTGGTCTGATTTTCAGTTTTCAGTATATTGAGTCTCTCAAATGTATTGATAAAAAATGTAGTGATACAATTGTATTTGCTAAAGAATATTGAAGCTAATTGAAAAGTGAATTAATGTGTATGGTATTTTCTTTCTTAGTACAAATTACTGGTTTCTAACTTTCTCTTAAATCATTATATTATACATAATAGATAGTCCTTTTCCCCTTTTTATTTTATTTGTTCAATTCTGTCCTATTTTTATTTGTTTCTTATTTATTGTGAAATTATTATTTGTTGATTGTTATCTTTTTGGATGTCATGTTATTGTTGTAATTGTTGTGCGTTATGTGTAATGTTGTTGTAATGTGTAAAAAAAAAAAAACACAAAAAAACGGCAATTAGGTTATACTGAGCCTGATCTATTTCTACCAGAGATTGTCTTAGAATGAAGGTATACCTTTAAGAAAAATGTTACCTGAGGTGAAACTCCCCTTCCCTTATTTGCATGTGTACGGTTCACAGCATTTTCATTTACATGTCAAAGCCTCCTCTAGAATTAGGAGAAGGGGGGTCATGGGGGGACAACTGGTAAGCAAGGCCCACGTCAATTTCCGGCAATTCACGGCAGTTTTGAGTGTTGCCTGTAAATTGCCGTGTGCAGTCGTAAACCTGAACTTCCACGACAATCTACAGTGCCACTTACTGACGAAAATCCCACTTTTCATGCAGTGTTAAATATCAAACAATAATTACCAACCAAGGTGACTGCTCTGTCAGGGACCACACGAAACAAATAGAGCAAAAGCTGCTTACCTTGTTTTTGGTCGACCTTTTGTTTCGTGGGGTCACCAGCAGGGGTCGTCACCACGGCTGCTCCCCTCTCGAAGCTCCTGGCTGGCTCGCCAATTATGTTGTGGCCAGTGATGTTTTCCTCAGTGATGACGATAACGTAAAAATTTCGTTAACGCACCGTTTTTTTATGACGATAACGCGACGATTACTAGCTAAAAATAGCTCTGAGGTGACTAAAACATGACGAGACGTTTTTGAGGTTTTTGTTGACGAGACGTAACGAAATTGATTATAAGTCTGACGTTCACAATGCATGTAATTTATGCCCGTTTTGCGTGAAATCGGTCTGTATGGAGCTAAAAATAAGTATCAGCAATGCTGCCGTTTCCTATCTCGTGTGCCCAGCGCGCACCAGATTCCACACAACAACACAGGGTTTAATGGTAGTTTTTGTACCAATAGAGTAGGACAAAAACTAGGATAAAACCTGTTGGAAAGCATATTTTGCAGCGATGTTTGTGTGAGCATATCAGTGAACATCCCTGACCACTCGTGAGTTTGACGTCTTTGTAAACGAATGTTTAATGTGTTTTATGAATGATTGTGTGGGTGCTAACACACAAACCTAAAATTCTCGGGACAACAGCATTTGTCCAAATTTCTATCTTAACCATTCTATTTCATCAGAAACGATCTTAAAACAGGGCTTTAAGTGTAAAATACCGAACTAACCAAGACCAAATACAGTGTTTATTCAGGGATTGTCTTATTCATTTTTATGTTCAACACACACCAAGTGTCATGTTTGTTTCACACTTTATATTCGAGTATGCATTCTTTGTTCAATGCACCTCAGTATTGGATATTTATTTTATTATTTTGTTTCAGAATGTTTGCAACTTTGC